AATCATGACACATTTGGAAACGTGCGCCGGTCGAGCGCTATTATCATTTTTCATCTGACAACGATTTTCCAGCATTCCAAACGGTAAATTTCTGAACTAACATTCAATAAAATAAAGATTTGCTGACTGGCTGGGAAAGGAGCTGAATAATTACTTCTGCGGGCAGATTCACTAAACTGCAGCACAAGGACGGCCGGTGATTGCATGTTAAACGGATATTAAAGCCATGTAAGAGCCTCGGGCGACGCAGATCACCGGGGACCGCGTTATCGGAGCCGGCCAACGTAAAGATATCTCACCAGAGCAGCGCTAATATACGGAGAGAGGAAGATGAGGTTGAGTTACAGATCTCTCGGGGCGGGGGAGGGGGGTGTCCAAATAAAAGAAGAATCCCGGGGGTATGAAATTCTTAGAAACCAATTTTGGGTTTAAAAATAAAGACAGATGCTCCACCGTAGGCTGTAATCAAAGTGTACGGCCTCCCGGGGGCGTCACTCCCTATATGGAGTAGACTGTTATTTTAGAGTTGCTCCAGTGGTTTTAAGATCATTTTTTATATTTATATACTGTATATACACTGTAAAAGTTGCAGTGACATCATCATTATATATATATATATAGTATATATAGCGAGAGAGAGATCTATATGTGTATATATATATTTATACAGTATGTGTGTGTGTACAGGGAAGGAAATAAGTATTTGATCCCCTGCTGATTTTGAATGTTTGCCCACTCACAAAGAAATGATCGGTCTAAAAATCGAAAGGTATGTGTATTGTAACACTGAGAGACAGAATAGCAACAAAAAATTCAGCAGAAATGCATGTCTAACAAATGACGACTGATTTGCATGTTCATGAGGGAAATAAGTATTTGATCCCCTTCACAAAACATGACTGAGTACTTGGTGGCAAATCCCTTGTTGGCAATCACAGAGGTCAGACGTTTCCTGTAGTTGGCCACCAGGTTTTGCACACATCTCAGGAGGGATTTTGGCCCACTCCTCTTGGCAGATCCTCTCCAAGTCATTAAGGTTTGGTGGCTGACGTTTGGCAACTCGAACTTTCAGCTCCCTCCACAGATTTTCAATAGGATTAAGGTCTGGAGACTGGCTAAGCCACTCCAGGACCTTAATGTGCTTCTTCTTGAGCCACTCCTTTGTTGCCTTGGCTGTGTGTTTTCGGTCACTGTCATGCTGGAACACCCATCCACGACCCATTTTCAATGCCCTGGCTGAGGGAAGAAGGTTCTCACCCAAGATTTGATGGTACATTGCCCCGTCCATCGTCCAATTGATGCGGTGCAGTTGTCCCGTCCCCATAGCAGAAAAACACCCCCAAAACACCCCCAAAGCAGAATGTTTCAACCACCATGTTTGACAGTTGGGATGGTGTCTTTGGGGTCATAGGCAGCATGCCTCCTCCTCCAAACACGGCGAGTTGAGTTGATGCCAAAGAGCTCAATTTTGGTCTCATCTGACCACAACACTGCCTGGAGATCATTGACAAGATCCTCAGTTCTAGTTCTAGGATGATTTCTCACTGTTCTCATGATCATTGACATTCCACAAGGTGAGATCTTGCATGGTGCACAAGACCTAGGGAGACTGACAGTTGTTTTATGTTTCTTCCATTTGCAAATGATTGCACCAACTGTTGTCACCTTCTCACCAAGCTGCTTGGCCATAGTTTGGTAGCCCAGTCCAGCAGCTTTGTGTAGGTCTACAATCTTGTCCCTGACATCCTTGGACAGCTCTTTGGTCTTTGCCATGGTGGAGAGTTTGGAATCTGATGGTTTGATTGCTCCTGTGGACAGGTGTCTTTAGTACAGGTAACAAAATGAGATTAGCAGCACTCCCTTTAAGAGACTGCTTCTAATCTCAGCTTGTTACCTGTATGAAAGACACCTGGTAGCCAGAAATCCTGCTGAATGATACGGGGTCAAATACTTATTTCCCTCATGAACATGCAAATCAGTCATCATTTGTTAGACATGCATTTCTTTTGATTTTGTTGTTGCTATCCTGTCTCTCAGTGTTACAATACACCAAAAATTCGATTTTCAGACTGATCATTTCTTTGTGAGTGGGCAAACATTCAAAAATCAGCAGGGGATCAAATACTTATTTCCTTCACTATATATATATATACATACTATATTGCCAAAAGGAAGGGCCAGTCCTCCCAATCATTGGATTCAGGTGTTCCAATCCCCTCCATGGCCACAGGTGTATACAATCAGCCCCTAGGCATGCAGACTGCTTCTACAAACATTGGTGAAAGAATGGGTCGCTCTCAGGAGCTCAGTGAATTCAAGCGTGGTCCCGTGATAGGTTGTCACCTGTGCAATAAGTCCATTGTCTGACATCAGTGCCTTACCTCACAAGCAGGGGTGTATTTACCACAAGGCAAACAAGGCACTTGCCTAGGGCAGCATTTTCCAGGGGGGCAGCATCTTCCCCCAGAAGAAGGGATGGAAGGAGGGACACGCACGAACCAGGTAGGATCTGAGAGAGGCTGCGGGTTGCTCTATGGTGTACGTAGAGCCTGACTCTATCCGGGGATGTCCGGAGCTGTAGATGGGTGTCTCTCTTTCTATCGCTGGGGGAGGGGGGGGGGATAATGGAAGGCTCTCACAGGTGGGGGGCAGGAGTGTTGTTGGTCAATGTCAGGCTCTCTCTGCAGAGGTGGAAGGGGGGGGGGGTGTTGGTCGGTGTTCATGGGGGCAGAAGATTTTTTATGTTGCCTAGGGCAGCACAAAACCCAAATACACCACTGCTCACAAATGTGCTTCTGGAAGAATGGTCCAACCTTCCCATAGACACCCTCCTAAACCTTGTGGACGGCCTTCCCAGAAGAGTTGAAGCTGTTATAGCTGCAAAGGGCGGGGCCAACTCAGTATTGAACCCTACGGACTAAGACTGGGAGGACATTAGAGTTCATGTGCGTGGAAAGGCCGGCCGACCAATCCGACCAATACTTTTGGCAATATAGTGTGTGTGTGTATGTATATATATATATATATATTGTAAAAGGTGAACTACAGGCACAAAATTGTTCATCAAAATGTATCCCTCAATAGTCACAAATTATATAAATTCACTTTGTGTGCGCCAAATGCCTTTGCAAACCCAGATTCTACCTTGTAAATGCAGCAATGACATCATCACTGTTCTGTACATTGCCTGTGCAGAGAGCGGAGCTGTGAAAGGGGACCAGCAGGCTCCACCCATTTCAGGCCGCCTGTACTATTTCAAATGCCACTTTATGCATTGACATTCCTTCTTAGACTCAGTTTCTCCAGACTGAATATGGTCACCTGCTGACTTGGCATCATCCACAGACAGCTTAACTCATCAAGGCAAAAAAGCTGAAAGTCTTTTGCAGAGTAAGAACATGACTTTCCTAAGTTTTGTCTCTGAGAACAACTAAGAGTGATTTAGGGAAAATGGAAGAAGTGTGTGTGTGTGTGTGTGGTGTGTGGTGTGGGGGGGGGTGGGGTTACCTAGTACTAAACTAACTAGCAATAAATAGGAGGGGAAGACAGAGGAAGATACCACATGCACATAGTAGACAAACTGCAGTGCCCCAAAACTGCCACTAGATGTCAGCATACTACAGAAAAATGATGATTTCATGCAGTGCAATACAAGACAACAATACATGAAAGTGGGGCAGAACGCTGCCAACAGAAAACTGCAGACACACATTATGGCCACTAGATGGAGCTGACAATCATAGAAAATAACTGTATCAAGCACATTGTGGCCATTATAGGTGAGAGCTGAGTGAATGCTTGACACAATCCTATCACAATGTTTTTTTATACATACACCCCATGCAGTGCTTTGTGTATTTCATTGATTCGGTGTGAGACATTACCTCTGTGCAGGAGCTTCCTGTAATAAAGACCGCTTACTGCTGCTCTCCCTGTGCAGGGTGACTGGTCTTGTCTCCGCCCCTTCCTGTTTTCTGTAGTGGGTGGAGCCTGCAGGACCCCTCCCACGTCTCTGCTCCCTGCACAAGGTATGTACAGTACAGTAATGATGTCACTACCACTTTTACAAGGCAATATCTGGGTTTGCAAAGGCATAGGTGCACACAACGTAGGTGTACAGTTTTTGTGGCTGTTGAGGAATTTTTTTTTGATGAAAGCGGTGGTGCCGGGATTTCATCTTTAACAGACCAAAATGGAGAAAAGAAGAGAAGTTCATTGTTGGGGTTTACATATAGTAAAGGAAGCAATTTCATGCCAGGCCTCAGATAATGAAGTGCTGTACTCGGGGGATAAGTGTCTCTGTGCTTCAGTCAGAAGGTCCGCTGAGTTTGCTTTGGAGTAAATCTGTAAAAAAAAAAAACTAGGCCAATCGAACCGTGCCTATGATGAGAAATGCACAAGTAGAGGTTACCTTCAATGACGAGCAGATCCAGATATACTATATTGAGAAAAGGATTGGGACCGCCATTACTTATATATTTCAGATATACTGCATGTCTTTAACCATTTCAATACCGGGCACTTTTACCCCTTCCTGCCCAGGCCAGTTTTCAGGTTTCAGTGCTCTCACACTTTGAATTTTGAAAAAAAAAGTTTTTCTTTGTTTCTGTTATAAAAGTTTGCAAATAAATAATTGTTCTTCATAAATTTAGGCCGAGATGTATTCTGCTACATGTCTTTGGTGAAAATAACCCAAATTAGGATTTATTATTTAGTTTGTAGGAAAGTTATAGAGTTCACAAACTATGGGATAGATCTGAATATTGATCAATCCTGAAGTACTGACAGCCAATCTAATTTCTTGAGTCCAAGAAATGTCCAAGACAGTACAGATATCCCCCCAAATGTCAGGACAGTACAGATATCCCCCAAATGTCAGAACAGTACAGATATCCCCCAAATGTCAGAACAGTACAGATATCTCCCAAATGTCAGAACAGTACAGATATCCCCCAAATGTCAGAACAGTACAGATATCAAATGTCAGAACAGTACAGATATCCCCCAAATGTCAGAACAGTACAGATATCCCCCAAATGTCAGGACAGTACAGATATCCCCCAAATGTCAGGACGGTACAGATATCCCCCAAATGTCAGGACAGTACAGATATCCCCCAAATGTCAGGAACAGTACAGATATCCCCCAAATGTCAGGACAGTACAGATATCCCCCAAATGTCAGGACGGTACAGATATCCCCCCAAATGTCAGACAGTACAGATATCCCCCCCAAGGATGTACAGATATCCCCCAAATGTCAGGACAGTACAGATATCCCCCAAATGTCAGAACAGTACAGATATCCCCCAAATGACCCCTTTTTGCAGAGTAGACAGTCCGACGTACTTCATAAGAGGCATGGCGACTTTTTTGAAGTTGTATTTTTTTTGTCATAATTTTTCGGGGAAAATGAAAAAATTAAAAAAATTAGTTTCACTATTTTTATTTTACATATGTCACCAGTGCAGTACAGTGTCATCATATAACTGGCATGGTGGTGGTCAGGGACACTGACTGGTGTGACAGTATGAAAAAAAAAAAAAAATATATATATATATATGCTATATATTTTTTTTTTTTTTTTAATTACATTTTTTTTCTTTTTTTTAAGATTTTTTTTCAGATTTCACTATGACCAAAGTAGTACAATGTTACCATAGTAACATTGTACTACTTTGGGGAAGTGATCAGTATTTTTTTTTTTTTACACAATTTGCTTATAGCAAAGAATTACTTTGCTATAAGCAAGCATTTACCTGAATGACATCAATTCATTCAGGTTTTTTTATTTTTTGTGCTTAGCTGTGATTTGGCCACAGCTAATCACATGACATGTGCATGTGATTAGCTGTGACCATTCACAGCTAGGCACTAGTATACAATGGATGGCATGAATGAAGCCATCCATTGTATACAACTGTCATGTGACCTGCTGTGATTGGTCACAGCAGGTCACATGGTACCAGCAACGGGGCCGATACTCAGATCTGTCATGGGTCGTGTCCAAGGTACACGGCCGGTGACAGATTGCGCCGCTGCGGCGCTCTGCAGGAGTGCAATCTGCCGGAACGCTGATGACATTTGCCGCCCGCCGTTCGGCCATAGGGCGGTGGAGGGGGCGGCAAATGGTTAAAATGCAAATCTGCATTTTTTGGAATGCATTTACAATTATATGTTAGAAATTTATGTTAAAATGACTTTTTATATGTAAAAAAAAAATCTGAACAATATATTTAAAAAATATATATATTGTTTTTTTTTTAAAAAAATAAATTCTTCAGATTTTTTTAACATATAAAAAAAGTCATTTTGTAAATGCATTCCAAAAATGTAGATTTGCATTTTAACCACCTTCCGCCCGCCCCATAGTACAATGACGGGCGCAAGGTGGTTCTCTCGTTCTGATAGGACGTCATATGACGTCCTTCCATTCTCACCGCGCATGCACGGCTCAGGGAGCACGCAGTGCGGCGATCGCCGGTGCGCTGTGGTCCCTCGGACACAGCGGATCACGAAAGAGCTGAAGATGTCGGCTCGGTCATGTGATCAGCTGTGTCCAATCACAGCTGAGATCACATGTAAACACGGAAATGCCCGGTTATCGGCATTTCTCTCCTCTCGAGCTGTCACGCTGACAGAGGAGAGCCGGGTAATTCGGCTTTTCTGCGGAGGGGACATGTACACTGATCATCAGGGCACTGATGATCAGTGTGCCCTGATGAAGTGTGGCCCAGAAGTGCCACCTGTCAGTGTCCATCATGCCAGCAGTCATGCTGCTCATCAGTGCCACATGCCAATGCCCATCAGTGCCACATCAATGCGGCACATATCAGTGTGCCCATCTGAGCTGCCTTTCAATGTCACCCATCAGTGCCAGTCAGTGCCACCTATCAATGCCAATCAGTGCCACCTATCAGTGCTGCAAATCAGTGCCACCTAGCAGTGCCAGTCAGTGTCGCCTATCAGTGCCAGTCAGTGCCGCCTATCAGTGCCAGTCAGTGCTGGCTATCAGTGCCGCCTATCAGTGCCATATATCAGTGTCATGTATCAGGCTGCTGCCTTTCAGTGCCCATCAGTGATGCCTGTCAATGCCCATCAGTGCAACCTACCAGTGTCTCCTCATCAGTGCCACCTATCAGTGTCCATCAGTGCAGCCTCATTAGCGCACATCACAGTGAAGGAGAAAAATCACTTTACAAAATCATTTACAAAATTGTATAACAAAAACTAAGAAAAAAAAACTTTTTTTTTTTCCAAAATTTTCAGTGGTTTTTGGTTTGTTTAAGAAAAAATAAAAATCCCCGAGGTGATTAAATACACCAAAATAAAGCTCTATCTGTCTAAAAAAAAATGATAAAAATTTCATATGGGTTCAGTGTTGCATGACTGCGCAATTGTCATTCAAAGTGTGACAGCGCTGAAAGCTGGAAATTGGCCTGGGCAGGAAGGGAGTATAAGTGCCCTGTAGGCGAGGGGTTAAAGACATACAGTATATTTGAAATATATTTTGAAATATATTGAATATGGACAAAATTGAAGCATTTCAAATATATGTCAATATATTTGGGAAGAATATTTTAAAAATATATTTAAAAATATATTTTTTTTCCCATGTGGCATTTAGCGCACTTGAATTCTGGAAGATTTTAAACATGTAGAAACTGTCCTCCTGCATCATATTTTAATGAGTAATAGATCAGTCCATGTGGGGACAGACACTGGGAAACTGTCTAGAAATTCTTGACACAGCCATGACACCTTACCCTCAGAATCAGCTAAAGTAAAAAAAAAAATTTTTTGTTAACATTTTTTTTAGGTATGCCTAAAAATATACTCTAAATATGGGTATAACATGAAACACGATCAAAAACGTGAACTATGCCTTTGGGGCCAGTTCACACTACATGTGTTTCAGTGTGCTTTTTTTTTCTGCATCCAAAATGCACAGAAAGTAGGTTGTTGTCAATGTCATACACTATATTACCAAAAGTATTGGCCCCGCCCTCCAAATCATGTCATTGATTCAGGTGTTCCAATCCCCTCCTTGGACACAGGTGTATACAATCATCCCCTAGGCATGCAGAATGCTTCAACAAACAATTGTGAAAGAATGGTCGCTCTCAGGAGCTCAGTGACTCCAAGCGTGGTCTCGTGATAGGTTGTCACCTGTGCAATAAGTCCATCCGTGACATTTCCTGGCTACTAAATATTCCAACGCTCAACTGTTAGTGGGATTATAACAAAGTGGAAGCAACTGGGAACAACAGAAACTCAGCCACCAAGTGGTAGGCCACGTCACATGACAGAGCGGGGTCAGCGCATGGTGAAGCGCACAGTGCGCAGAGTCACCAACTGTCTGCAGAGTCAATAGCTAAAGACCTCCAAACTTGGTGTAACCTTCAGATTAGCACAACAACAGTGTGTAGAGAGCTTCATGGAATGGGTTTCCATGGCTGAGCAGCTGCATCCAAGCCTTACATCCCCAAGTAGGAGAACGGTCCTTGCCTGAATGCATTGTGCCAAGTGTAACGTTTGGTGGAGGGGGGATTATGGTGTGGGGTTGTTTTTCAGGGGAAATGCAAAGTCCCATATCTATATATACAGTATATGTGTGATTTTACGCACCCCTGCCGCTCTGTAGTAGTATTTCTGCTACAGGGCAGTGGGGAAGCAGTTAAAAAAAAGTCCCTGACGCTTTCTAAAAAAGCACTGATGTGAACGTGTCCCATAGGAAACCATATTAAATGGACTGTAGTGCGTTTCTGCAAAAAGCAATAAAAAAATGCATTCATCCAAACACTTCATCCATGCTCCCTCAGTCAGTGATAGCTATTCACAGAGACAGGGCTCAGGAAGGTCATCATCTTCTTACACTTCAAACGACTTGAAAAAAAAACATCCTCTGCATTGCAATTAGCTGAAGTAAAATTGTGCTGGATTCAGTTTTCTGTGTCTTACTGAAGAGTTACGCTGCCTGTGGATGGTGCCAAGTCAGCAGGTGACCATACTGTCCAGACAGACTAGGTCGTAGGAGGTATGTCAATGCATAAAGTGCCATTTGAAACAGAACATGTGTTTTTTTTTTTCATTGAAGGTGACTTTGGCTCATACAGTTTTCATCATATCTTCCGTTTCAGTTGTCCAGGTTTGTGTTGAGTCTATGCTGAGAGTAATATTATCATACATCTGGAGTTAGCAGGCCTTTCACAATGCCTCTGATGTGTGATTCTTGGACACACAACTGAAACTGCACAGTGGCCAGAATCAGGGAACACATCATATTTGTCATTCAGGTCATGTAGGGTAACATACTGTATATAGGAAAAAAGGGTTAGATTAAACATTTGACATGCTTACATTTTGCCTTCCCTGGTTCCACCTTCCCTTCCCCCCCCCCCATATCAGCAAGGATTTAGATAAAATCCTTCCGGGTTTCATTGTATGTCTTTTCACTGGGTCTCTCTACTTCTCTATGCAATGCAGGCAGATCATGGCTTGTGGGAGGGGCCAGTGAGTTGCTATACATCATGAAAACATCACAGCACCCTGCCTCAGTACTCTTTTTAGTAGCTCTTATGCAGGCCATAGATGGGTCGAAAATTGGCTGATTTTCGCACGGTTAGTGGGTTAATTGGTCGGCCGTTTTTCGGGGGTTTGGCACATTTCTTTTATCGGTAAAGTTGGAAAAAAATCAGCCGATTTTCCTGGCAATGATGGGCAAATCGGCCGATCTTCTTACCAATAAAAAATCTGCGCATGAGCCGTGACCTGCAAGAAGTAGAAGAAAGAAGAAGAAAAAAGAAGAAGACGCAAAAGAAGAAGATGAAAAAGAAGAAGAAGACGAAAAAGAAGACGAAGAAGAAGACGAAAAAAAGAAGACAAGAAGAAAGAAGACGAAAAAGAAGAAGCAGAAAAAGAAGAAGAAAAAGAAGACGAAAAAGAAGAAGAAGAAAAGAAAGAGAAGAAAAAGAAGAGAAAAAAAGAAGGAGAAGAAAAAGAAAGAAAAAGACAAAGAAAAAAGAAGACGAAAAAGAAGAAAAGAAGACGAAGAAAGAAGAAGAGGAAAAAGAAGAAGAAAAAAGAAGAATTCCAGTCCGCTATTATATTTGATATGAAAAAGTATTGCGTTTGCAACAATGTATCTATTTGTATCCAAATAAAAACATCTGTATCAGAAATGGATACAAATGGATACATTGTTGCAAACGCAATACTTTTTCATATCAAATATAATAGCGGAGCTCTCTGCAGGGACAGAAGTAATTAAATGCCGGCTGTAGACAGGACGAAAATTGGCCGATTTTTTTTACCGTTGGTGGTAACGTCGGCTTATTGAACGACCGATTTTTTGTTTTTTTGTTTTTTTTTTTAAACAGCTGGTTTTCGACCCGTCTATGGCCTGCATTAGTCTTGATGCAAGCAGTGGGCTGGTTCTCGGGAGGAGCGATGGAAATATGGGGTCGATATCAGCCAGGTGGAATGGGCATTTTCCTGAAGGCCACCCTAGGTAATGTCTCCCTGATTGAAAGAACTGAAATACAATATATGAAAAAGGCGGGCCTGGGACAGTCAGGCTGGGGAGGAAAGAGCTAGAGGATGCCGGACATCCTCCAGCCAGGAAATGAGGCGGAGCTCTATCAGGAAGAAGCTCTGCACTAACAACCGTTTATATTACAGATCAGCCACATGGGGAGTGCATTGTTTTTAGCGAGTCAGCTGACCCATAGACATTCATTGTGAGGAGGTGCAGTAAAGTAAAACCATTGTGTAGTGCTGCAAAGCAGGACGCAGAGCCTGCATGTGTAATGGGGAACTCTATAGATAGGTTATTGCAAACTATATATATAAAAAAGATGAAAAAACATCGATCGTCTGCGCCAGGCTGATCTCTACATGTTTGTCCAATACAAGTCCTTGAAAGGACTCCGCCTTCCCGGGCCGATTGATCTTATCTCTGCAGTCGTGGAAAGGTTGCTGAATATACAGGAAACTGCTGGAGCGGAAAATCGACAAATCTGTTTATAAAATGTCAGAATATTGAGCGCCGAGCTTCGGAAAATCCATCAAAATACTTTCCAGGAAATATTACAGTTATGGCTGAAGATACATACGCATGGAGAATATACCACAGAATATACCACAGAACATACCACAGAAAAAACCAAGAACAAAAGAAAAAAGAAATAAAAAAAAAAAAAAAAAAAAAAAAAAAAAAAAAAAAAAAAAAAAAAAAAAAAAAAACAAAAAAAAAAAAAAAAAAAAAAAAAAAAAAAAAAAAAAAAAAAAAAAAAAAAAAAAAAAAAAAAAAAAAAAAAAAAAAAAAAAAAAAAAAAAAAAAAAAAAAAAAAAAAAAAAAAAAAAAAAAAAAAAAAAAAAAAAAAAAAAAAAAAAAAAAAAAAAAAAAAAAAAAAAAAAAAAAAAAAAAAAAAAAAAAAAAAAAAAAAAAAAAAAAAAAAAAAAAAAAAAAAAAAAAAAAAAAAAAAAAAAAAAAAAAAAAAAAAAAAAAAAAAAAAAAAAAAAAAAAAAAAAAAAAAAAAAAAAAAAAAAAAAAAAAAAAAAAAAAAAAAAAAAAAAAAAAAAAAAAAAAAAAAAAAAAAAAAAAAAAAAAAAAAAAAAAAAAAAAAAAAAAAAAAAAAAAAAAAAAAAAAAAAAAAAAAAAAAAAAAAAAAAAAAAAAAAAAAAAAAAAAAAAAAAAAAAAAAAAAAAAAAAAAAAAAAAAAAAAAAAAAAAAAAAAAAAAAAAAAAAAAAAAAAAAAAAAAAAAAAAAAAAAAAAAAAAAAAAAAAAAAAAAAAAAAAAAAAAAAAAAAAAAAAAAAAAAAAAAAAAAAAAAAAAAAAAAAAAAAAACAAAAAAAAAAAAAAAAAAAAAAAAAAAAAAAAAAAAAAAAAAAAAAAAAAAAAAAAAAAAAAAAAAAAAAAAAAAAAAAAAAAAAAAAAAAAAAAAAAAAAAAAAAAAAAAAAAAAAAAAAAAAAAAAAAAAAAAAAAAAAAAAAAAAAAAAAAAAAAAAAAAAAAAAAAAAAAAAAAAAAAAAAAAAAAAAAAAAAAAAAAAAAAAAAAAAAAAAAAAAAAAAAAAAAAAAAAAAAAAAAAAAAAAAAAAAAAAAAAAAAAAAAAAAAAAAAAAAAAAAAAAAAAAAAAAAAAAAAAAAAAAAAAAAAAAAAAAAAAAAAAAAAAAAAAAAAAAAAAAAAAAAAAAAAAAAAAAAAAAAAAAAAAAAAAAAAAAAAAAAAAAAAAAAAAAAAAAAAAAAAAAAAAAAAAAAAAAAAAAAAAAAAAAAAAAAAAAAAAAAAAAAAAAA